CCCCAGACAGTGTCATCATCACTGCCAGTTCATTCTTCTTTCTTTCCCTTTCTTCTCCTCTCTCTCTCCATGCATATTGTTTTTTTTTAAAAAAAAAAAAAAAAGGTAAAAATTGCCCGGCTGATGCAGCACAGTGGTTGAGCATCTACCTATGAACCAGGAGGTTCCCAGTTCAATTCCCGGTCAGGGCACATGCCCAGGTTGCAGGCTTGATCCCAGTGTGGGGTCTGCAAGAGGGAGCCAATCAATGATTCTCTCTCATAATCATTGTTTCTGTTTTTCTCTCTCCTTCTCCCTTCCTCTCTGAAATGAATAAATATATATTTTTTAAAAGTCAAAAATTATTCATCAGGGATAACAATTGCTAACAGTTCTGTGTGTATTATTCCATACATTTTATGACTATGGAAATATATATTACAAACTCTTGGGGAACTGTGGGACGTTTCAGGAAGAGGCTATTAGAAGGAACTTAAGGCTTGCACTAGGTGTTTGCAGGAGGCTCTAAGGAAGCAGGGCTTTGCTCTGGGTGGGGTTTTGCCAGGAAGTGGGGTAATTCTATGACTGGGTGTCGTACTAGTCTCATCCAGACAGAGGGACGACTAACATGATGCTGGAGCAGGTGAAGGATTGGTAAAGCAGCAGTCACTCCTCTAGCCGGAACAGGTGGATGCTTGGTCATTTTCATTGTTTGGACAATGTTCCCGTTTTTGGCTGTGTGCAGACATGATTATGGAGTGATCTACTTTTTTCTCAGTCCGTCACATCCCAGCGTGGCCTTAGCAGATGTTTGTGTCCTATGAGGTGGGAGAATGCCAGGGCTGCAGACATTTTGGTTTTTCAAGTAGGACACCTGGGAATTGCAAGGTGATCACAATCTATGATGAGTTATAGTATTACTAGAGGCCCGGTGCACGAATTCATGCACAGGTGGGGTTCCTCAGCCTGGCCTGCAGGATCAGGCCAAACCGGCTCTCCGACATCCCCCAAGGGGTCCTGGGTTGCAAGAGGGTGACGGCCAGCCGAGGGAACCCACCAGTGCACAATCAGGGAAGAGGGAGGTTGGCCAGCGAGGGAGGGACAGCAGGAGTGCTCCAGGGTATGTCCAGGCCATCTCGCTCAATCTTGACCAGCTGGACCCCAGCATCAAGCTCACCTACCGGTCAGAGAATCTTACCCCTGGTGGTCAGTGCACGTCATAGCGAGTAGTTGAGTGGCCTTAGCATATCTTTAGCATATTATGATTTGATTGGTTGAATGGCCAATGGATGACTGGACACTTAGCATATTAGGCTTTTATTATATAGGATGATGAAATCACAGGCAAATTGCCTAAATCTGGTAAATCTAAGAGGCTATAGGTTTTAAGTGTGATGAAAGATTAAATTTCGTGGCTATGTGTTGGGAGAAGCTACCTTAGGAGAAATGGCTTCTTCACTTTAGAAGAAGCCATTCAACTCTACGCTTTTACAGCTAGTTCTGTTCCCTCAGTCTATAGGCCAGTTCATAATAGACATCCAGACTCAGCTAATTTTAGAAATGCTGATGTTCCAGTAGACATGAATGTTTCTCTACAAACTCACAGAGGCCAAAAAAACATTACTTTATTTCTGTTAATCAATTTAACCTGAACTCCCGGTCACTTCAGAAGGAAAATATTCTATCTCAGGCATCTTGATGGTGGCCATCTTTCTCCCTAGAATTGAATATGAATTCATGGGACTCGTGTGGCTCCCAGCAAAGGACAGAAGAGTCTGGTTCCCCCAACTGCTGTTGCTGAGAAGCTCATTCTCCGAACCCACTCAGCAAATGGGCAGGCAGCTCCATCCTTTCACACCAAAGTATGGGAGTCTTCCCCCTCATCCTCAGGCCCTGATTGTCTCCAGCATCCACCCCTTCATTCAACAGAGCTTGTGCCACTTCTGGAGAAACTACGTGAAAACAGAGCACAGGTCTATGTCACTCAAAGACTAAAACAGCCATCCCCACTCTCACCTCAGGCAAGGGCCACTTCTGCCTCCTTGTTTCTTATAGAGGAAGGAATAGGAGCTTACCTATCATACGTGAGTAAGCATGTCTTGAAAGGAGATTACTAAAAATGTGTGTTGACTGTTTGCTTTCCTGGGCTTGCAGGGGAGAATTCTGGGAACTCCATGTTAGGCTAATTGGAGCCCCTCACTTGACAGATAGAACATATGCCTATGCAGGCCTGAGCTTTTCCCAGGAGCTCTCTGCCTCAGCCTCTCACCAGAGAGATCTAACCAGCTTCCTCAACACTTACCCCTCAGAGAGTGCCTCGTGTGAACCTCAGTACTGGGAAGGACTTTCTTGCCAGCCTCAACTCAAAGGACTTGCTTGAACCTGAGGGTGAGATGTTGGTCTTTGGATCCAGCATCAGTTGCTGACTCTTCCTGCCCCAATCATGGTTCCAGCTGCAGGTGGTGAAAGCCTTTAGCTTGTGGTCCAGCACTGCCAACTCTGTCATAAATGAGGAGTGCCACACCCACCAGTGGGCAGGGCCAAGATGCATCTATAGCCCTAAACCCCAGTCCCATGGGCTGGGAACCAAGGGGAAAGAAAAGAGAGGAAGAGTTCTTGGAAACTAGCCCTTCCCTATTGCTTGCCGTTCCCCACCTCAACCAGGATCTGGTGTTTCACATCAGTTGAGACGGACCTGTCTGGAACCACACCTGTTGTCTACTGGTCACACAAGTTGCCATGTCACACAGAGGCCTGTCCGGGGGCCTCCAGAGAAAATTTAAAAACTGCAGAAAGATTTCTTGTACTTTTATTGCTAGTTTTTCTTCTAGTTGATAAAAATAATCTTTCAAAATTCCAACTTTGCCTCTGCTACAACCAAAAAAGGCAAGTCTTATCACTACACCCTTGAGACAGGCAGGACCTGTGTATAGTTTGTTGCAGCCATGAATGCCCCCCTCTGACAGAAGCTGAGTAGCCAAGACAGACAGGACCCAGCAGATACCAAAAGGACGTTTCCCACCATCACTGAGGCCACCAGTGAAGTTTGGGCTGCTGGGGAAAGGGAGGGCCTGGGGGTCTCCAGGGAAAAGATGTGAGTTCACCTAATGTTGGGTTAGGCCAGTGCTGTGCTAGAGCTCCCTTGGCTCATACGAGCCAATAATAAGCATATCTTTCTGACTCTATTTTCAGTGGGTAGCAGCAGACAATGATAGGAGTGACACGCTGAGGGTATCAGTTTAGGGATCAGGGACCAGAGCCAAAAACAGAGGGGTATTTAAGAGTGAAGGCCAGGAAGTGAGGCACAAGTCCCGTCTTCACCCTTCTTTACCGTGTGAAGCCAGCCAGGTCTCTGGCTGCCAGAATCCTCACAATTATCCCTGTAGGAATCCTGCCCCCTCCTTCAGCTCTCTTGCCTTCCCACACCCCAAAGATAATGCAATTACTCACACTATTTCTCTAGGAGCTGGCTTCACATTCCTGAGCTCTCACTCATTCGTGGGGCTTGAACTTTCCAACTAAGAGGTGATTTTCCTCACTTCATGTCTATTCCCATCATTCCTCATTTTTCCTACATTCCTCATCCCGTTTTCCTCAAATCAGAGCCATTGTTCAAGAACCAAATATTCAAATCCACCATAATCTAATCCAAGCATGTCAAACTCTCAGCCAACAGGCCACATGCAGCCCATCGGCCACGAATTTGACATGCTTGAATTCCTCCCTCCCCCCCTTGGAAAACTCTTCTCCCCTCCTCAGAGACCCCAGGCCCCTCTGACATCTCCCCATCTTCTTTCCTCCCTCAAATGGAATTAATGCATAACCTTGAGAGAGTAAAATGAGGACAGACCCAAGAACACACAGCTTCCTCCATTCCCACAGAGGACTAATAAGGTCACTAGGTTCAGACATCTGAGGATTACAATAAACCACAGGCCCTGTCTCCCATGGGCCTTATACACTGGCTGCTAAGATCTGGTCAGAGATGACATCTGTGTGAGGCTCCATCCACCAAATGGAGCTTAAAGTGATACATGTGTCATGGTTACCATTTGGTTAAGGTATATGATTATGGCGGAATAGTACAATTTTTACACAACCACCTCTACTGGTATACATAGTGCTTTATTGTTTACATGTTCTCATTTAATCCTTGTAGCAACCTTGAGGTAGGTAATGTTACCCCCACTCTACAGATGAGTAAACCAATGTTCCTAGGTTAGATTACTTGCTGAAGATCATACACTTATTAGGGCATAGCCACTGATAAGTCCAAACCGAAGGGAACTCTTTTGGGTAATTCACAGCTGCTGCCAAGGAAAGTAGAGCTGAAAACTTCAACTGGGAAGGGCTGGATCATTCACTGGAGCTCTGGGGGATGGGGCAGGGATCCCTCATCAGGGATGAATGAGGCACATTTACAAGCCAAGACCGAGCAGGAGAAGCCTAAAGCATCTGTGAGATGTGAAGCAGGAAGAAGTCTTTAAGTTTAGTGAGAGTTGATAGTGTCTTCAAATATTCACAGAGCTCAGCTTCCAGGGTCTGGAGAAATGAGACGGCCTCCAGGAGCTGCAAGTCCAGGGGCTGGCCACAGAGCAGGGGAGCCGAGGCAGAGAGCTGCTGCTGAGTGGCACCATCTCAGCTTGGCCAGCAGTGTCATGACTTGGGGGCAGTGGTCCTTTAACTGTGTTAAGGCCTTGAGAATCTGATGAAAGCCATAAAACATCCACCCACCCACCCCACCCACCAAAAAACACAGACACATATACAGACAACATTTTGCATATGATTTCAGGGAGTCCATGGACCCCCACTGGAAAACTAACTGCTTTAGGGCAAGGGTGTCAACCT